TAGATAGCATTGGATGGGCTTACCCAGAAGTAGTAGTCACCTGCGCTCCATACCTCGTGTCCGTAGCCGATCATATAGCTGACGAGACGAGGGCCGAAATCTCGAGCCAGGTTGATAGCATAGCCAGTCTCCCAGCCGAAGCACGCACCGATGCCAAAAATGACAAAGAAGAGCCCAAGAGGAGTCAAATCTCCTGCACCAAGATTTCCATCATCCTTCAGCGCGTAGATCAAGAACATCAGGATCGCACTGGCGATAAACTCGGAGAAGAACTGGCCGGTCTTGGTCATGAACGGGGCAGGATAGGTGCAAAAGATGCCTGCGGTCGACGTCTCGCCACCGACGGTCCGGATGCCAGGGCCTCCTTCGAAAACATCGATCGCGGACTTGTAGTTGGCATAAACAATTGCAGATGCTGCCATAGCGCCGAGGATCTGGGCAAGCATGTAGATTGGAAATTTCCTCCACGGAAACTTGCGAAAGATTGCGTTGGCAAGGGTTACGGCAGGATTTAAATGTGCTCCTGAGATGCCAGAAGTGTAGACTCCTAGCATGACACCAAGACTGTGCAACTATTAGCAACCGACACATTTTAGAATGTTATAACCGAGACAAAACGTACCCCCAACCCCAAGAGATTGATTGGTAGTCGCCCTTTGTGTTCCCACTGAGGACTACCTGCGCGACGACACCATCACCAAAGAGGATCAGGATGAAGACGCCAAAGAACTCCGACAGGGGTTCTCGGAGGAAATGTCGGATTCGACTCCAAGTCAGGTCAGGTTCTTGTTGCACCACATCTGCTTGAGGAATCTTGTGGTCGACGAGGGCACCGTGCTCGGCAAAGGCAGGGACGTCTTGAACAGAAGTTCGTCGTCTCTGCTCCTGGGGAACATTGAAGTGTTCCTGGTGGGTAATGTTGCCCATTGTGACTGGCTGTTTCTCCGAGGATAGAGAAGAAATGGACGTGGACATGTAAGAATTAAAGGTGGCAAGATGGACGAACAAAGGCAGTGCTGCTTTGTGGGGATACAGAACAATGAGAAGGTGCCCATGGGGGAGAGGACTTGGGTTATATAGACGAATACCACATAATATAACCCATGATTCCGCTCTCTCTATTCTGACTCCACCCTTGTAATCTCGAGTGTCATTGCCAGTGATACCGAAAACGTGGAAACAGAGTTAGTTCAGCAAACAAGGCGCTGTGGCCGATGCAAACCCTTGTACTAGGTATCGTGTCTAGAACCAAACTGTACAGGGGTCCGGGACACCCGCACGTTGGCCCTGCATAAAACACGAGATCGTGGCTTGTACGTGAGCCAATGATGCCGTATGACGGCCAAGAAAATCCTTCCACTCACATAACTTTTTCTTCAGTTAGTATCACCGCGAACCGCACACGACTAGACCCGGATGGTCTTGAAATTCCAGCGGCAACTCTATGCCGACTTGCATAGAGTTATGCCTTTAGGAAGCCCAGCTCAAAGCAATTCCTGCAGATCTTGATATGCACGATGCCCAGACTTCACGTCGATGTTATGGTATCTCAGGGGCCGTTGATAGGATCAGTCATCCAGTGGTGGTGAGTGAGAGGCAGTTGGCCGTCACAAACAGACAAAAATGACCTGTACAAATTTCAGCTGCCTTCGCACTCAGTCAAGGTTTCATGGCGGTCTCGGGGTGGCACACATTTTACCTCTCGGTGGACACGGCTTCTTAGCAACCAATACGACGTTACAGAGGAAGACAAGGTATACGGAGTAAGTGTCGCAGTCTTTGTCCGGCCGACTGCGGAATCTGCAAGCGGCTGGAAAAACAGTTTCGCCGATGACGTCCTTGCGGGGCACGTGGGGAAGCCTCGGCAAATGCACGTCGGTCTCTTTCCCCGAACTTCTCTCCTCGATTCATCCTCCATTATTCTCTATCCTTGTCTTTTCCGCTCATCCCCGCAAACACCTGCGTTCGGTACCACGTCGCGAAGGGCTTCCTCAGTCGGTACCACGGGCGTAACTTCAACAATCCACTGCAGCCATGTTACTTTCCACTCCTCCCCCCCGCCACGCTTTGTACCCCTGATCTTTCCCGCATCTACTTACAATCCGCACGCCCGCCCTTCCCCATGCCCGTCGCCTGTCCCTGCACCGAGCTTCACCAGCCGCATGGAATTGTAGAAGGGTTCCGTCTGTGGAGTTCGGGGTTGAAATGTCCGGGAGACCTCGCAAAAGTTCGTTTGAACACCGAGCAAGCACCAACTGGGGACTCCAGCTTGTTATGCCATGAGCTCGCGTAAGATTCGAGTTTGACGCAGACCATGACCCGCTTCCATGTGGTACAACCCCCTGCGGTAAAGGTCATGCGACCGTGTGCCTCGATACATTGTCTTCAAAGTCCACATGCTTCGGTGTTCCCCCGCTGTTGTGCTATATAACATGGATTCCCCTCCCCTCCACAGCATCCCTCCAGGCCTCCAGTGCTCCAGTCTATTCCCCAGACCCGGACAATTTCTCCTTTCAGGCAAACTTACATTTCTTTGAGAACTTTATGAACTTTTTGCGAAAAGTCGCCATGGGCAGCACTCAAGAAGTCTTTGTCGGGTCTATCGATCAGGGAACCACGAGTTCTAGATTCCTGATCTTCAACAAGCGAGGCGAGCCTGTTGCCTCGCACCAGCTTGAATTCAAGCAGATCTATCCACATCCTGGGTAAGTAACACCAATTTTAACGACGAAGCGTGCTGTTAACCGCAAGACACAGCTGGCACGAACATGACCCCCTGGAGATCGTTTCCTCGGTAGAAAAGTGTATCGATGGCGCAGTCCAACAGTTCCAAGACCAAGGCCACAACATCAACACCATCAAGGCAGTCGGCATCACCAATCAGCGTGAGACCACGGTTCTTTGGAACAAGGAGACCGGAGAGCCCTTGTACAATGCTATTGTTTGGACCGACACGCGGACACAGGCATTAGTTCGAAAGCTGAAGCATCGACTCGGCGCCGACAAGCTCACTGACATCTGTGGGCTTCCGCTTTCTACCTATCCTTCCGTCGGCAAGCTACTTTGGCTACTTGAGAATGAGCCAAAGGTCAAAGATGCGTACGAAAAGGGCGTGTTGGCCTTTGGCACAATTGATGCTTGGCTTGTGTATAAACTTAATGGAGGTGAGCTCTTTTTGTCGAAACCTCTGCAACCTTCACATGCTAACATCCCAATCCCAAAGGCCCGAAAAGAAACATCTTCGTCTCTGATCCTTCAAACGCATCACGAACAATGTTCATGAACCTGAAGACCCTCGAGTACGACGACTCCCTTCTCGACTTCTTCCGTATCGACACCTCAAAGGTCCACCTCCCTAAGATCGTCCATTCTTCGGATTCCGCAGCATATGGCTCCCTCACCTCGACCGTCCTCAAGGGTGTTCCGATTACCGGTTGCCTAGGAGATCAGTCAGCCGCCCTGGTCGGTCAGAAAGGCTTCACGCCAGGCCTCGGCAAGAACACATATGGAACCGGTAGCTTCATTCTTTACAACGTAGGCGATAAGCCAGTGATCTCCACCCACGGTCTGTTGACCACTGTGGCATTTGACTTTGGCGGCAACACTAAGCCCATGTATGCGCTTGAGGGATCGATTGCCGTGGCTGGCTCAAGCGTCAAGTTCCTGGTCGAAAACTTTGGATTCATTGACAAGTCCTCCGAGATCAGCCAACTTGCCGAGACTGTCGAGGATAATGGGGGTGTTACATTCGTGACTGCATTCAGCGGTCTGTTCGCGCCCTACTGGATCGATGACGCCCGTGGAACCATCTTCGGTATCACGGCGTACACACAGCGAGGCCACATCGCCCGTGCCACTCTGGAAGCGACGTGCTTCCAAACCAAAGCTATCCTGGTGGCAATGGAAAAGGACTCGGGCCACAAACTCAGTGAACTGGCCGTTGACGGTGGGATGTGTAACTCGGATCTGTGCATGCAAACACAAACTGATCTCATTGGCATTCCCGTGAAAAGACCGGCTATGCGCGAGACCACCGCGCTGGGCGCGGCGATCGCAGCTGGTTTGGCCGTGGGAGTATGGGACAGCATTGACGAGTTGAAGGAGGTCAATACCGAGGGCTCGTCGGTCTTCAAGCCTGCCATCAGCAAGGAAGAGAGTGCCAAACAGTTTTCTCGGTGGGAGAAAGCCGTGGAGATGAGCAAGGGCTGGGCCAACTGAAGATTGGTTTTCGCGAGCACCTTTTCCCCCAGAGGTGTTCGGGCCTTATAGGCTTGTAGCGTGGTGTCAATGGCGTTGGTTCATCTCATCAATCGTCCTTGTAGTTTAACCACCATCTCCTCCCAGTGTGATTGATAGGCTTGGTGAGGGAGAGGAGAGTGTCTCTGGAATTCCACAGACACGTACTAGGTACTCGAAAAGGAACATGACTAACAAAATCAAATCCAACGTGCATCCATTTACCAAAAGTCACTCGGTGGAGGAGTTTCCGCTACGGTACAACATGACTTGTTACCTCTTTAGGTAATCACCCATGGTGCCAGTATTTATGCTTGAATAAAGGTTGTTCTATGATGTAATACAGCAGCCCTTGTGCTTGGTTAGAATATGCTCCTTGAATAAGCTTAAGGTTTTTGTTTTACGGGATACACCAAGTTTAAATCAAGCCTAAATCTGGTTGAATATCCTACCCAACATCCCCACAGGTACATACATAGACTCTTGAACAACGACACCCTGAGTTCTCATATCTCTTTATCAGTCTCGACACGACTCTTGCACCGTCTCCATTGGTGGTGTACCTCGGGACTTCTGCCACACGCCCTGAAATGGATGTATCATGCGTGAAGCATCAGAACTACTGGAATAGGCCCAGAAAAAGCTTGATCTAGGTTCTTACTCGCATGTTGTGGGTGATGACTAGGCATCCCTCTCTTCCATACATCACCAGACCTCCCTCTTCGGCATAGCAGCAGGGGTAACAACAACAAGAGGCGTCCACAATGAAGATCATCATCGTCGGCGCAGGGATCGGCGGCCTATCTGCGGCATTGGCCCTGGCGCTCGAGAAACACAGCGTGACGGTGCTCGAGTCGGCGCCGCAGCTGGCCGAGATCGGGGCGGGCGTTCAACTGACGCCGGACGCCATCAAGTGCACCGGGACGACGTCGACACCACGACCTGGACGCCCGCGCAATACCACGGCGTGATCCAATCCCTCTTCCGCGGGTGGGACGGCAAGCTTACGGCTCTTCTCGACATGGTGCGGCCCGAGACCATCAACAACTGGCCCGTGTACCAGGTCGAGCCGCTACCCCGATGGGTGTCCAAGTCCGGCAAGTTTGTGCTCATGGGGGACGCGGCGCACGCCATGGCGTTCTACCTCTCCATGGGCATCTCGATGGCCGTGGAAGACGCGGTCGCCTTGAGCGAGTGTCTCTCGCTACTGGGGTCGGCGACCTCCTCCTCCTCCTCCAACGATCCCAACGACAACGGCACAAATGACCCGGGACCGAAACCAAGACCCTCTCTCTCCACCGCTCTTGGTCTCTTCGAATCGGTCCGCAAACCGCGCGCCGAAGCCGTCCAGTCCGCCAGTCTCCACGCTGGGGAAATCTTACACCTCCCTCCCAGCGCGGCGCAGGAGAAGAGGGACGCCTTGCTGCAGGCCGATGGAAGAACGGATAGGAAAGAAGATAGGCAGTACGTGTACGGGATCGCGGACCGGGAGACGAGGGATTGGTGTTATGGCTACGACGCCGCCTTAGAGACACGAAGAGAGTGTGAGGGGCTATTCGGGCCAGCGAACAGGGAGACTAGTCTTTAAAGGATTGATGACGACGGCTGTCTAGCTCCTGGGGTTTTCGACAGCATCGAGATCGGAGGCAGGGTACCAACGGTATACCTACCGGCCGGCTTGGGGAAATACAATGCAGTTGACAACAAAAGGTAGAAGTCGGGAGCGAAAGGGGATCTGAAATCTAACAATCATAATTTTCTCGACGACATATTTGGGTCGCAAATGAGCATATATGCTCGTGCTATATTTCAAGGATTCAGGGGCAAGGCTGATCACCAACCATATGCCACTATTATATATACAATCCATTCACCATGCCAATGTCTGACCGAGTTAGCAGACACGCGGCACAATTACGGTCAACCATGTCATGCGAGGTGAAGCATTTCCCTCTCCAAGCCATCAACTCATCAAATATTTTCGAAGAAATGAACCCTGTCCTGCGTAGCTGGTTCCCAAGTTGACGCAACGGCAGCTCTCAGACTTTCGGCTGCCTCCTTCATGAAGGCAGCGGACATGCTGGCATCCTCCAGGGATGCTGCCATATCCCACCCACTCCCAGAACCCTCGTTTCGTTTTCTCGATTCCTTCTTCACAATTCCCTATAGTCTGCCTGCCGGGGCTTGCGATTCCGGTTGATATGCCGGTGGGGATTGACAGGCTGCCGCATGTAGGCATTGTCTTCTTCGTTTCCTACGTGCCGTTGTTGGTTCGCGAATCGATTCCCTGCTGGGCCGGACGGCGGATAGAAGCCCTGATTCTGATTCTGGTTGACCAGCGCTTTGGGACCGGTCGGCACTCCAGACATCCCAGCCGGTTGTTGAGGTGGTGATGGCTTGGGCTGCTGATGAAAGGTCTGATTTCGAATAGGGCGATGGTTGTTGTTCTGGTGGAAGTTGTTAGGTCGATTCTGGTTCATGTTGGTGTTGGGATTCTGATTCTGGTTCATGTTCATGTTCATATTCATGTTCCAATTCGGCATCTGACCTGGATTGGCGAAGTTGACACCCATGCCCATGTTCATGTTGCCCATATTTCCCGGGTTCATCCCATTCATCATCATAGGATTCATGAAGTTCATCGGATTCATGCCATTCATGCCCGCCATGCCATTCATGCCTGGCATACCCATACCCATCATCATCGGATTCATCATCATGGGGTTGAAGCCCGGCATCATGGGCAAAGCCATGTTGTTTCCTGATTGCATTTGCGACAAGTCTGGCGGCATCATGTCTGCAGGAAGCACGTTATTACTCTCAGGAGTCGCAGTCTGCTCCTTGGAAGGAATCAGCTCGGCGTCCGCCACCTTTGGTGTCGACGACACGGCATCTCCAGACTTCTGCCGCTTCATGGCCGGGGCGGCCAGGCTATCTGAGGATGTTGCTCCGTCGACTTCACTCGCACTGCGCTTTCTCGCCGAACCACTGGCTGATTGAGGCGTGGTAGAACCCTCTCGAGATTGTGAAGGTGAATATGGAGGAGAGTCTTTGGTCTTTGGTGAAGCGGCGGCACCCTCTGTAGGACTTCTAGACCGTTGCTTCTCTGCAGACTTTTCTGCTTCATACTCTTTGATTTTGTCCTTCATCTCCTCGTCAGGCTCAAGACGCTCGAGACTGATATTCTCCGTCTCACACCCAGGACATGTGAGATCGTTTTCAAGTAATGCATTTTCGATACAAACGTGACAATATGTCTTCCCACAACAAGGTGTCTTCATTGGATCTACAAACAAGCGCTTGTCAATCGAGCATTCCAAGCCTCGATCTTGTAGCTCCTTGTCACCAATTTGCTCTTTCTTCTGCGCCGCTTCGGCAGCCTTGACCTGTTCCAGGTGTTTTCTCCATGCCTTTTCATCCGCTTGCGCAAAGACGTACTCTCCCTCGGCGTTTACCATCAGATTTTGTCTCTGAGACTCGTCGAGCTTGTCGATATCTGCTTGATCGATCTTCTTCAGCATCGACCGAGGAATACCAGTCGTGCGCTTAATTCGGTTCTTATTGTCGTAGGAAGCGTCATCGTTGGTTGGACATGCTTGGATCCAGTGCCCTACACACGTCAGCAAGGGAACACAACAAATACTGACGGATCTTTTCTTACCTTTCTTGCCACAGCGGTAACAGATGTAGCCGTGGGGAGGTTCGCCCTCCGGAATGTTCGCCTTCTTGTTGAAAGGCTTCCCCTGCATAGGGACACGGGTCTCGTGTGACATTTCCTCTTGTTTTTGTTGCCATTGTGCGTCTGTAAATTGAAGCATGGCTTGAAGCTTTTCTTGTTCCGTCATTGCTTTGGCCATGTCCACTGGTTTACGAGGCTTGGCCGCAATATTCGCTGCCATGGGCTTTGCACTGACGGGCGGTTTACCAGAGACATATCGAGCAGCACGCCCTTTCCCAGGCGCAGAGGCAGGTAATCTTCGGGCAAGGACAGTCGAGTCTTTGGGGATTATTTCAGTGTCATCTGTATATTCTGGACTATTGTTAGCCACCACCCGGACGAAAAAAAAAGGTTGAGAAATGCACTCACCTTCGTTGCTGTTCTCCTTGTAGATCTTCAGGTCAAAGTCTGTGCCATCGCCTAGCCGAGAAATGTTGATGATCTCACGCTTCAAATTCCAGACATCGGTATGAGGGCCATCGATTGTTACACGCTGAGGTTCTTTTTGTGATTTGAACTTGAAATATACGTAGGAGGCCATGGTGGCAACGCCAACGCCCGACAGCGGCTCAGACCCCCAGTGGGACAATAGTGTATGTGCTTGTCGCAGTAAGCTGGAGGTGAACAGAATGCTGAGCGTGCGGTGACCTTTTGGCGTAGATAGATTCCAAGGGACACAAAGTCAGAAGACGACAAGGGGGAAAAAGGCAGATGTTATTGTAAGTAAACGAATAATAAGTCCAGCTTGAGAGAACTGAGTCCAACTCAGGCGAGCCTGTTCCTTTCGCCAGTCGTTCTTGCACTGAGCTGCGCTGCACTGCCAATGTAGCTCTGCCACTCGAAGCAATGACACACGCAACAAAAGAAATTCCCTCTTTCCTGAATCTGATCCCAGCTCTTGACAGGAAATGTCTCTTGTTTTTCCAGCTCTACAACAGGTGCTGATTGCAGGAAGAAAGTCTCCCTCACGATGATCTTAACCCCTCCCAAGACTAATGTCAGCACCGGTGTGTGGTGAAAGCGTCCGTTTGCGGAGAGTGACGAGAAAGCGAAAACAATGAGATTCGCCGTCGAAACAAGTCAGAATCTATGATTAGGCGCACGAAACGTTGGTAGATGGGTAAAGCGAGGATAAGGCCGACACGGATGGATTATGGAAAGAGAAGTGTTGCGGAGGGGATGATGGCGGAAGAAGAGGTTGGAACGAGACGGAGGCGCAGGCATGGAGGCAGCCTTTTTATTCGGCAGGCAGAAAAACTGAATGCGGCAGATTGTCACATGACAAAGCTATGGCATCACGTGACTTAATTTGTCTTTTAGTCAGCAAGAATCAGCCTTGTGTTCTAGGGGACAACATCCTCGATCCTCAGCCTCGTTCCTTTGACTGTTTTGACTGTGCTACAGTCTCAGTTTGCCATGGCTCGACAGTCATCAAATATGTCTGATCAAGTGCAGACCCTTAGAAAAATTGCTATGACTGCTTAGTGAAACTGGAATAGTTGGCTATGTCTCAATTGGCGTACAGCTATGCAGGTTGCGAAGTGTACAAAGAATAAGGACAGTGTATTCGGCGACAATTTCATGTGCATAACCCGTCTCATTGTACCGAAAGAAAGTTTGGTCAGCTAATTGCTTGCTGAAAGCTTCCTCCATGGCTGCCATATGTCATTTTGCTTGCAGAACTTCGAGGCCACTTTCAATCAGGTTCGTATTATGGACAGTCAAAAACGAGGCTGATTCTCACAATTCAGCAATTCAAGTGTTGAAGTCTCTTCTTCCGTCGAACGCATCTTGGCGGGGACGCGGCAGCCTTACCCTTCAAAAGCCCTCTCACAATAGCCAACCCAGCCGAGAAATGATGGTGAAGCCCGGTTCAGGCTGACCCGGAGAATTCGACTTAGACTTCTGATGCCCTGAATGTGGTGCCTCGATACTTCGAGCTTTTGACATGGAAACAGCGCCATCGACGGCTGCACTGATGTTGACGATCGATAGACCGTCTGAAAGGCACCACGTGGCAAGAAACAGCCTCCAAGCATGCGAACAGCATCTCACCATAAACTGCGGTAGAGAGCTAGCTATCTTAACCCTCTCGTTGTTCTGTCCACCATCATTTCTGACTTCTACAATAAGTTCTGACTTCCCGGATCTCCGACAGTAGCTGCCATGTGCCATTACTCCCCAAGCAGCAGGTCTGAAAAGCTGTGTACTTCCATTCCGGTTGTCCTAACATCTTTGGCCTCGACGATTCCTGTGGTGTTCTGGCCGAGACGAAGGAGGCAGAAATGGTTCAGGCATGCCCTCAAGCGACGAGAATAATCCGGTTCATTAGTCGGAGGAGTCGGCAGTGACACCCAGTCTATCTAGACGGGAAAGGCATGAGCGCTAACTGTGATCTTAACGATCATCAATCTTGGGTCTTGCATTCCTTGTGCCTCTGTCCAATGCCAACCGGCGTGGATTCAGCGGGCGTGAAATGGTGGAGTCGTCGATATACAGATAGTCCATCGACCAACTCGTGGAGAGTTCATCCACAAAAGTATGTCCATCTGAGTGCCGACTCCACTTCTATAACGACGGTATCTCGGGGTTCCAAGTAATTATTGAGGATGCCGGACAGTTTGGGCCAAACAGCTTGGCGAAAATACATCAGCGAGAAGCTGGAACGTCGAGGTTAGAGAAGTGGACATTCGGTCGCAGGGTAGACGGTCAAGTAGAAGGACCGAGTGAACCCATCGGGACGGTGCTATTTTGAGTCCGCAAATGCGCTCTTGATCCACGGAACAGACTCTGCCAAATAAAAGCCTCGCTCAGTAGAAGTTCAATATCTTTTTCTGTCCATTCGCGAGTCGGCAATGCCTGTAGGAACATCAAGATCTCTTGGAAGTTCATCTTCATCAATTTGTCAGACCACTTGACGAGGAATGCTGCGCAGACGTAGAGGTGAAACTGGGAAAAGCCATTCTCTTCGGCCTGGAGTCTTCGCATCAGTAGGAAATTGGTCACACCAGACGGCTCAGTCTTACCATGTATGTGTCCCACATGCGGATGACGCTCTTAATGCTCAATTCGCGCATCAACAGGCAGTTCATCCACCTGAAACTGAATTGCATGTATTCCACGTGCTCGTTTTCAAAATGCTTAGCCAAGCCTACGTCGATTCTGGTTGTCAAATCTCGCAGAGCAGCAACTTGACGATGAATGCCTGGCTGCGCGACGATGTAGTTGTCCTGTATGCCGTCCAACAGCTTTGTCAGACACCAAAATGTGTCTGCCTCGACGGCGTCCAGAACCGGCCTTGGTAACTGGCCGGGATCCATCCCACTTTCGACATCCAAGTCCGTGATATAGGTACCTAGGAAGACTTGCCAAAAGGGCGTGGCTAAATCGTTGATCCCTTGCACATATCCACTTGCTGGGTGTCGAATTGCCCAAACGTAGAGAATGCGTTCGAGAGATCGTTGCGTGGCTTCGAACCCATACAACGGTATATGAGGGTTTGTCCGAGGTACATCAATGCTAACCTGATGCCAAATCGCCTCATCCAATCCTCTTCCGCGACCGGTGCTGACTGGTGGCTGTGAAGCAAGTCCAGGTAGTCCTGTGCTCGATGCACTTCTGCCAGCCATCGTCCCGGAATTGAAAGCTTGTTGCACAGCATCAAGATATTCTTTCCGCTTCCGCTCCAGGGTTGTGACACGTCGTTCGCTGTTAGTTGGTAGATGGCCAAGGAGAAGCTGCCATGTAATGGCGCGTACCTCTTCAGGTACTCCTGACCAGGCTGCGGCTCGCAAGTCTGGCAAAGAAACAGAGCTCGCCTGCAATATTCGCTTGAACTTGTTGATCCGTGACACCCTTGTGCTATGGGCCTCTGCTTCTTTCGGCGTCGCATTCGGAGGCAGAGAAGGGAAACTAATGAGATGCAACGAGTTTGCTGGATCCCTCAGAATGTCTTTGTATTGGGGCCTCAGGATTTTGCCTTCGCCCTTTTTGGTGCTTGGGTACGACAGCGGGTTCCGCTCTTCAGCGATATCGAAACTGTTGGATCTGGCGGAACGTGGAAACGGAGAAGGTGCCAAAGCTGGAGCAGAAGTAGTCTGCGACAGACTTGGATACGCAATTTGCTCTGCCTTCACCGTCTTGTTTTTTATACTCCTCTTTCGACGCATGCTTGCAATGCTGGGCAGACCAAATTCATCTTCGTCGTCCTCATAGACCAGATCGTCGTCGTCTCCTTCCGCGTCTCCCCCACCAGCCAAGTCCCAGCTCTCACCCAACGCGGACGAGGTATAGCCTGAGTAGGGTTTTCGTTCCGGAGACTGAAAGTGCGGCCTATCCGACGGAGGAGTCTGCGACAATCGGGCTGATGTAGCTGGGGGCGTCCTTGGCCTCGAATGAGGTCCCAGGTTTCTGGCCACTCGATCAGTTACGTGCCCCCCATGGTCCATTGATGACTTACAATGACTCGATTTTTAGCATATCGGCATGGGAGTATGAAGCGCCAAACACCTTCGTCGCCTGCCCCGAGGTCTGACGAGGTGTCGACGGTCGTCCTCGCCAAAACGGCGAAGATGGTCGTCTTCAGTGTGTTAGCAAGATTCCGATTGACAGCTTGGTGCTCACGATATCCATACTCTGATCTATCTAAGGCGCATCTCGGCGTTAGCTAGCGCTCTTTTAACTCAGAGAGATTGAGAGAGCATCGGGAGTCGGGGAGACACGAACCAACCTGGACCATCTCCTAGAATATGTCAGTAGAGACTCGATGACATCTCAAATCGGGAAACGTTACCTGCTGCTGGGCCTTTTTGTGAGCCATGATGGCTCTGTCTGCGAATTAGGCCACTCCTAGAGAAAGGTTATTGAGATTTCCTCCTGAGTACCTTTGCATGAGGCGGCGAGAACATCCTTAAACGTTGTTGTTGAGATGTTCAGTCGATGAAACCAGCATGTTTACATGGTACATGGCGCCCGCTGAGGGTCGTGCGGGCGGTGGTGCAGGGCGGGATGTCACAAGCACCGGATTCGGTCCACTCTGCCAATCCAGTCTGGGTGCCAGTCAACGCCGCCAAGGCCAATAATAATTGCGCCTTGAACCCATTGCGGCGCCAAACAAATTCGGGGGGCTTACGAGGTACTTCTCTGGTAGAGTTCAGCGCCGCAGCCTCTGTTACAATGTTGTTTTCACCTCATCTCGTCGTCTAACATTTTCACACTCGCCTCATCTCAGCCAAGGTCACCGCTTCGTTTTGCCCTTCTACCACCTGCTGCTGCTGTTGATTACGTCACTGGATTGTAAGGCGCGTCCTCAGCGAGATCTTGTGAGCAGAAGCGTAACACCTCTGATCACCATTTCCTTACTTGGTGCACGATAAAGATGGCAGAACCCGACGATGTCGAGGAAGATCTCTTTGCAGATCTGTATGTTTCCCTCTCTCCGTTGATTTAATCCCTCGTCTGGACCTACCTTGTGTTCATTGAGACTGGCACGAACCCTGACATGACATTTCCAGCTACGATGCGGACGAGAACCATGGTTCCAGCAAACCTGCTGCTCCATCTGCTGCACAGACTGCCGCAATCGATACAGTAATGAAAACGAGTGAGGCACCAGGCTATGGCGAGGAACCAGAGATAGCCTACGACCCTACGTCCTTCGACACGGAACCCCCGGGCCAGGATGAACCCACCAACGGCGCTCATAGTCCCAAGCAAGCCCAAGATTTCCACGAGAAGCCATCGCAACCCGAGGTCTTCAACGTCAATATGAAAGAGGACGGGTGAGTATATGTGCTTGTCGATTTTCCCTCGTCCTACACTGCCCCTGTGCTTCATCTTTCCCATGCTGCCCTCGTTGTGAAAATTTCTGTGAGGAATAAGGAAAAGAGTTGGATCAGCTGCGAGAGAACGTGGAAAAGAGGGATCTGGATTCACGGCGGGGTTGGCCATGGCACGGGCAGCTCCCAGCAACAGTTCCGCGGAGTTGAGCATCGTATACGAAAACTTGCAACCGCGTGATTCGAAGGTGCGGTGCCTTTCATGGGTCAAAGACAACAAATGGGGTCAATCATGGTGGAAATGGATGGCTCGTACATCTATATTACGCACAACATTTTCAGGTCTGCGATTGGTCAAGCAGTCTGTTACAACTGGCTTCAGGCCCTCGCGATATTAGGACAGGTGCGGATGAGCTGCTGGCATCTGTTCAACCCTCAGATGGCTTTCAAGTTGCGCTTGGACAGCTGCAATTCGAGGTCGATCGGACTGGTTAGGGAATTGGAAAGCCTCTCCAATTGAACCGCGCAGCAGTGGCTAGCTACATGTTACATCAAACTAGCCAAGTCGATCTCATTGCCGAAAAAAGTGTTCATTCAGCGAAGCCAGAATAGTGGGCAAGAAACTACTACCGTACACCAAGATACTTTTCCAGGCAGAGCAGAGTAACAAAGCCCAAGACCAGGCAGGAGATAGATGCTTATGGAGTATCTGCTGAATCTCAAAGAGCCAACAAAACCTTTGCCTCTGTCCGCTAGAAGAAGTCGACTCTTTGCGCATGTTGAGGGAAAGAGAGAACAAGCCATCCCGAAGGATCGACATGCTGTTACATCGTGTATGAGAATGGCTACGTCCACCGCCAAAGTTGCCATCCTTCGCAAGGCTGCGAGGCTGCGAGGCTGCAGGGTTACGAGTCGCTCAAGCGCTACAGACTGAAGATGGACGTCGAGGAGATGTCCTCAGGAAGATATTGGACCGTGTATGCATCCTGCAAGGCGGGCAAAATCCAGCCGCATAGTCTTGGCCTCGTCCCACCCCGGTCTGTATGTCAAGTTGATGATGGAGGCCACATTCATCTGGCTCGCTGCAACAATCCGCCACCACGATTGCCCACTCAGCAAACAGAACCCACACACCATGCCCTGTACTTCTAGAACATCTCTCATGCGGGCGAACACCACCTACTCACGACCTTGCGGATTTGGCCCACGAAACCTGGACGACTGCGCAAGGGGTTGACCGCAGCTGAGTTGAGATGAGGCCGTTGCTTCGAGGACTAGGAGAGTCTTTCTGCGAACGACACTCCATGGTCCCTATCTAACGTTCAATTCTGTTGTTTTCCGCCCTGTCCCACGCTGTCACCTTCATTCTCAGATCGGCTTTTCATAGCTAACATAGCAATGTGTACAGAAAAATGTTCATAGGAGGACTTAATTGGGAAACGACAGATCGTAAGAGAAAACACACCCGCGCCTCTACATACACCAAAAAACCTCATGCGTCGCCACATATGCTGATCCAGCACCGTACTGACCCCCGTTGATAGAATCACTCCATGACTACTTCTCACAGTTCGGCGAAGTCCAAGAATGCACCGTCATGCGAGACAGCGCAACGGGCCGCTCACGAGGCTTTGGATTTTTGACCTTCAAGGACCCCAAGACAGTCAACACCGTGATGGTCAAGGAACATTTCCTGGATGGCAAAATTGTAAGACCTACCCATTTCGATACATCCCGGGAGAGACAGGAAAGACTTGGTTCCCTTTCTCGAAACTATTCGGCCCGTCGGAAGAACGAAGGCTTACTGTGGTGTGCCCAGATCGACCCCAAGCGAGCGATCCCACGAGACGAGCAGGAAAAGACGGCCAAAATATTTGTGGGGGGAGTCAGTCAAGATGCAACGGAAGAAGACTTTGAAAGCTTTTTCGCTCAATTTGGGCGGGTTATCGATGCTACGCTCATGATGGACAAGGACACCGGCCGACCCCGAGGCTTCGGTTTCGTAACCTTTGACAGTGATGCCGCCGTAGAGAAATGCCTGCAATACCACCCCCTCGAGATCCTCGGAAAGCCCATCGAGGTCAAGCGTGCACAGCCCCGAGGCAAAATGGGCGAGGATGATGATTACGGTCGCGGTAGAGGAAGAGGCAAGTTCGGACGCGATGACCGCTTCAACAATGACAACACCCAGACCCAGCAAAACTCGCAAGCCCAAGCTCCCAATATGATGGGCGGCACCACCGGAATGACTCCACAGATGATGGCACAGTATTGGCAAAGAATGCAGCAATACTTTGCAATGATGCAACAGCAGATGGCGGCTAACATGATGGGTAACATGGGTGGTATGGGAAATATGGGTATGAATCCGCAGATGATGGCGCAAATGCAGATGCAGCAACAGATGCAGAAGATGCAAGGAGCAAATAGCCCAAACGCCCAGAATGCCGGTGGCATGGGCAACATGCAAGGCATGTCCCCCCAAATGATGCAGCAGATGATGCAGATGCAACAGGGTGGGATGAACATGGGATCAAACCGACAACCAATGGGTCCCGGCAATATGGGCGGCCCGCGTGGGAGCTTTTCAGCCCAAGAGCAGTTGGCATTTGAACAGCAGAAATATGAGCAACAGCAGCAGGTCCGTCGCCCGGGAGGTTTCCCGCAAGGCCCACGCGGCGGTGGTGGCTTCCAGAACCAAGGCCACAATCATGGAGGCGGTCCACAGTCATGGGAAGGCATGTACGACGACGTTCCACAGCCTGAAGGCAACACTGGTGGTCGAGGTTCAGCGGGGCCCGTTCGCCAGCATACACCAAAACCACCCAAGGGTCCTGGTGGCCCATCGCAGCCGAGCGCAGCTCCAGCCAATGCTCCCACTGGTCCCAAGAATGCCGGCAAGCCAGGAGCAAATTTTAGGGGAGGAAGGGGGCGGTATCATCCATATGGGAGATGAAGATTGTCTCGGCGTTTCGAGTTTGTTTGTGGGGGAGGTCGGCTGTCGACGGGACTACCAGTACTGTCCTACAATCGGAACCCCCGTCCTAACGATGAAAGAGCCCAGCTGGAGAAGATATTTTGCCTCGATACAACAGTGAAAATGTGACCAAAACGTTGACCAGGTGAATGGTTAATCCAGTGCTGGTGGACATTACGTACTCTCATTATGCAAGGACCGAACTGATGCATTTATGTGCCTATGGATTCTTGCTGGCTCGTGTGTATGAGATAGCAGAGGGAACAAAGAAAACTGGATGAATTTTGCGATGGGGACGTCCGCAGGCACGATTCGAGAGACGGTAAAGAACAACAACAAGTCAATAACGCGGAATCAGTCAAATATGTGACCCTCCCGCCACATTAGGTTCCTTCTTGATGAAACCTACTCTACGAGGTACATACTCAGACTCGGTACTCAAGAGGTCTTCAGTTGTCGGTGGAGGAGCTAGACGAGGCTGTGTGTGACCCAGGGAGTGGTTCTGTCTATTAATAGAATCGTCACTAGTCATCACAAGCTTCTAGCTACCAAGAGTCAATCTGTAAAGTACGGGGAGAAGAGATCCGTGTGGCCGTCCCCATGTTTTTCGAAGACCAGTGCTCTCACGCAATATTTGATCGTGGTCCGTGACTATGGAATGCTCCGTGCTTATATGCATACCACCTGTATGAACTGGGCCAAAGCCTGTTCAAATGTTGTTCATTCCTTATATTCGGAATAAGATGCTGACAGAGTCAAATGGGTCGACGCAGGTACCGCGTGCGAAGGACAAAAAACCCCATGGTTTAAGGGGAGGTTATAGGGATTTTGGTGAGGCGCAGTCATGGCTAGAGCCGTCTGGGAATAGGTACAAGTATGGGGTGGACGAATGGGCAGTCCCCTGGAAGAGTTTTCGGTTGCAAGGACATGGCAACTGCAGCGCTGCGCCTCATCGAAGTTTGTCTGCTGCCCAGCTCCACTGGTGTGTTGAATCATGGCCGTTTTCGGCAGTTGGTTTCCATCACAAGAAGCTGGAAGGTGAGTATATTGTGTCGCAGGAGTCTT